TGTTTTTCATTTCTAATAATAATTTTATATAAAAATCAAATTTTGCTTTCGTTGTTTTTGGTGTGGCTCTTTGTAGCATTTAGAATTTACATGTGGCTCTTTTCAGCCTCGGCCTTGCCCACCCCTGGTTTATAACAAGATAATTTAATTGTACCATTATGTTGAAATTTTCGTAGAAAATATTTATATGTGCAAAGAAACAAGTTTTAGGTTACCGATTATTTTAACAAAAGTTTTATATACAATTTTATTTGTTTTACATTTTGCGGCATATATTTTACCGAAATTTTGTGGTGAAATTTGTATTATTTCCTCCTATTACGGAAGTTTGGTTTATTTAAGTTTCAACACGTTACAATTCTGTTTGGATAAATGAAAATCTTGTTGAAAAGTAGGACTTACAAATCCCCAGTAGTATTTAAGCCCATATTTGAAGCTAGTTGCTCTAAAAGAAGGTATTTTGTTCCGTGAATAACGATTTTGTTGTTCGCACGGTATGAAGAGCAACGTTTTACCGCTAGAATTTCCAAATATCTTCCGCCGAAATGCCCGACAAATGTGCCAACTTAATGCGCAAAGAATGTTTCTACTTCTGAACATTCATTTTTCCCAAAGTTAAAAGATTTTATTTGTTTTCCAAAGCTATACGCCAAGGGCAGGTTTGCCATGGAAGCCGAATGACTCTCCAATATTGATGGTTACCATCTGAAACCACTATATTGAAGTTTTTTTCATCACTGCAATTCCTCAAAATGTGTAATTTTTGTAAAATGCTAAAAACGTATTTGGTGCCATAGAGTGGACTGTGGTTTAGCGATTTATTTCTTTACCCTAAGTACCAAAACCGTGTTCATTATTTATTGTGAACTTTTACTTTTAATGCCACAAAAATTCATTCATGTTATATTTCCGGGCGCTTCTTCAGATAATTCAATGCCACGGGATATTATGGGCCATAATTTAACTAGTGAAATTAATAAAACGGTTTTTATTATGAAAATAGCTTCTACCAGGTCTATTCTGCGCTGGTAATAAAAATTTTGTTTCCGGAAAAAAAGTTCCCGTAAATTTTTAAACCCTTTTCGCATTCTGTGTACTCTTGTAACCGGGGAATTTCGTTGCCAACTCATAAGCTGGTAACAAAATATTGCCCCGTGAAATATTCAATGCCGGGATTTCCACAATTCTTCATAGCTGAATTGCTGAATATATTAACTGCGTTACCAACGTTCCCAGAATCGCGGTGACAAGCACTGGTAACATTTTTTAGTAATAAAATTTTCCGGTTACAAATCTTTGGTAACGTGCAGAATAGACCTGTATATGTTAAAGTATTTACCAGTCATTGGTGTAGATTTCTGTTGAAAATTTTTGACACTGGAGCAGGCGGAAGCACAATAGTTCATTTTGCACGTATAATTATTTACTATTGAATATTAGCTATTGTTTGTGATAACGGAAGATAAAATAATAAAGGAACACGAACTTAACATATGAAAATACTTTTAAAACTAAAGGCTATTATAATCGGACACAGCAAACAGTTTTACCCTTCTTTCATAGAGCGTAAATGAGGAAAAATTTAACATATAATTCTTTTACTGGGGTGGCTTTCAAAAATATTATTTTTTTACATTCCCTTCACATATTATAGTATTTTTCAAAACACCGCGACATTACCTGCGCGAGGAAAGCCGAAAAAAACGAATTAAAAAATCGTCAGCAATTGCTACCTAGCAAAAGCAAATGCTTGTTTTATTCATTAGAATTAAGGTATTGCTCAGAGAAATAAGCAATTGCAGTGATTGCTTTTTTAAAAGCAATTGCTTGAATTTTTATTCTTACAAATAAGAAATCTTAAGATAAGAAATCTTAAGAAAAAGCAATTGTGTGATGATTATTCACGATCTCGAATATTATTCGTTGAAGAGTACGTTCATAAATTTTGCATTTCAAATCGAGGTTTTACTGGGTGCGCGATAAATTGTATCTGCCTTTTCGCAAACTAATTTTCTACAGCAAATATTGAAAACATTGGTTACTGCATGCACGATATTTTTCCCTACTTTGATTTAATAACAAATCATAGACTAAAAGGAAAAAAACCAACACCAGTTTCTTATTAAGCGATCGATACTAAACTCTTTTAAAATAGGGGATCAACATACATAATATATGGCCTAAACCTGAATCTGGGTTATAATGATGAATGCAATTTAACTTTTGCGCTGGGGAGTTACTACTTGATATTTTCTCTTCATTCGTGAAATTTCCTTATTAAAACCCTTGGCATATACCCATATGGGTACGAGACTTGGATCGATTCTTTAATTAAGGGTCATTACTGAGTCTATCCTTGTCCGATTTTTCGTGAAATCTATGGAAGTGCTATATCGTCCTTTGCGTTTTATCAATGTAATGGTTTAAAATGACCAAGGCCGATATGTTCCTTTTAATATTAACTGTTTGCAAAATATTTAAGAATTTACGAATTTTACGAAAATATACTGTTTTCTTAGAAACATCTCCACATACTTAGTTACAATACAATTTTTCTTATGTTGATTTAGGGGTTACTGCTTGTGACCACAGATATACAAATATTCTCATTTATAAGTTATGACCACCAGATCTGTATTGACAAATGAAGGGGTTAGAATCATAAGGGTCTAAGTGACATTTATTGAAAATATAAGTTATGCCCATTATTGTTTAGTTAAATATAGTGTTTATGTGGTGACAAAAAGTAAATTAATTTAAATTAGTTAATTAACCTGCATTCATTTCAAATGCATTTAACCAGAATTTACAATAAGTAACCAACTTTAACCTTAACCTTAATTATCTCAAAACAATTTCGGAACTACTTAGATCCTTCTGATTCTAACCCCTTCAAATATGAGAATCCTTTTTACTTCTCTTGAATTGCAGTGGTTCTAAGTTGCTAGCATGGTGCAACAATAATAATTAAAAATACGGCAGCCTTAAGAAAACAGAACATTACTATTATGTATGTATGGCGACTGAAAGTAGATGGTCAACGATATACTAAAATTCGCATTACGTAAGGAAACTGGCTACTTACTGTCGGCTATTGACTCTAGTAGCGCAATTTTTTGTTTCCCGTTTATGACGATTTTGTTATTTGTTTACATAAATTGTTAAACATATTGGAGCAAAGTTGCCAATTATTACGAACCGTGCATGTCAAACAAGTTAGTTCGGATGTTGTCTGCGATTTTCTGTAGTAAGAAGAAAGAGATTAATCGCCATACATAATACAAAGTACTATACTGGTAGCCATGGCTACTAGACTAGACACCAGTCGCTATACATAATGGGGCCATTAAATTTGTCCGATTATTCGACTTTTTCCAAATCCGGTTTTCTAGTTATTCGAAAAAGGCCAATTTAAACAAGTAAGAAGGTCTAAGTTCGGGCGGAGCCCGATATTAAATACCCGGCGCAAGTATCAAATATATACTTTTTACCTTTCCGAAAGCTACCGCTACATGGTAAGCCAGGGTGGTTTTACCCCTAACGTTCAGTTAGACATAATGAGATAAACTTATATAGTCATATGTGGGCGGTATCAGGCCCATTTTCTAAAATTCCATATAACGTTACTGCTTTTCAAGGGATTATTGTTGGTATCAATTTTAAGTAAATTAGCGTCCTTAAATTTCGAAATATAAAAGTTTCAAGCATTTACCCTTGTATACCGATTTCAATAATATTCAACGTTTTTTTTTTGTGTGGCAACCACAATAACCGTACCGAGTTTAGTACAAATTGGTACAACGGTTACCGAGATACTATGTGATCATAAGTGGGCGGTGCCACGTCCATTTTCCAAAATTTTATCATAAATGTATTTCTGGTGCAAGCATAAATTTTGAATAAATTAGCTTTAGTATTTACTGATTTATCGAAGATTTCGTATTTCTCTAAATTGCCGTTTTATGGGATGTGAGTGTGGTTATTGTCCGATTTCAAAAATTTTCCGCCATTTGTCATTTTGTTCCAAGGCCAACAACTGTGCCAAGTTTGGGAGAAATTGGTGGAGCGGTTACCAAAATATGCACATGTAATCATAATTGGGCGAGGCTACGCCCATTTTCCAAAAATTTATAATCTCATTTTTTGTCTAAAAATTATTGTAAATATCAATTTTGGATGAATAATCTTCAGTAGTTACTAAAATAGAAAAAAGAAGTACACGCACCAAGTTTCGTTAGGATATCTCAATTTTTACTCCAGTTATCGTGTGCACAGACGGACGGACAGACAGTCACCGCCTAATCGATTTCTCTTTTCATTCTGACCATTTATGTATACATTTCTCTATATCTATCTCGATTCGTTTGGCCTGTTACAACCAACCGTTATGTGAACGAAGTTATAATACCCTTGTGCACATGTGCGCTCGGGTATAAAAACGGTTCTTAATATTTTAATTCAGAAAAACCCGGTTAGACCGGATATTTGCTTTTAATTTTTCGCGTCTGGGCACGCTTACAGACGCAAAAAAGAGACGCAAAAATTAAATAATATTATTAAAATAACGTATGACTTTAATTTAAAAGACAATTAAATGGAATAAATTCAAAGTTACTCGTATTTGGGTTAATAGTAAATTAGATCTAATAAATACTTAAGGGTTCTGGGATTAACTGTGTTTTCCTCAGTTGTTAAAAAACTTAACCCTGTCTTTTTATAAGTATTTTCTAAAATATATATCGTTACCCTAACCAAAACTTTTTTCAAAACTGCGTTTTTTACAGATTTTGGCAGGATATATTAAAATATACCTTCAATCAAAATTTTAAGTGTTAGTACCAAATACAACCGAGTTACGTGACACTTTTTAAAAAGCCCCTAGCTGTTCTTGATGCTCTTTTTATAAATGTATTTTGCTTCTATAAAATAAAAAATATGTTGGTTAGGGCCTTTGTGAATTAACGATATGTACATATTTCAATCAATTGTTTGCGGAAATATCTGTGTTTTTAATACTTTATTCAAAAAAATAATATCGAAATTAAGAAACTCGTATGGTAAATCTGCAGGTATTTTAAATAGATGCATTTCAATAAACAATAAACAATAAACAGAGCTTCTCATTTTCCACTTACATAGCTGCATTTTGGCTTAAGTGTTTTAAAGTGTATGCTTTAAACTCGAGTGAAGTTCGGTAGCTTCGCGCAGACGACTTGTACGTGAAAGCCGATTGGCTCCATGAGACTCCCATGTGCACCACTGATTTAAAAGCACATTGATTTACTCAAATTTGCAAAACATACGTTTATCAAAAAAGCATCTTTGAAGGGAAGTTGGTTGTATTGAAGAGCAAGATTGGTAAAAAAGCTATATTTGCGGTTTCAACAAAATAAAAAATGTATTGAATTTACAGTGAAGGTGCAGTTGTATAAATATTCTAGATGAAAAACCCGGTTTATACGGTAACAAAACTGCGGTTTATTCAAGATTTGAAAAAAAAAAAAATCAGATAAAAGCTCTCCAAAATATTGCAAAAAACCGAGCCAATCACTCTACTACTAAGATATTCTTATTTTTACTGCAACATGAGATGCTGGTTCACGACGGTATAGAATAAAAAAGTGTACGTCATCATTTAGCGTTTGTCCTAGCCTAATATGTTAAAACTATTGCTCCACCTAATCTTTTATAAAAAATATATATATATGTATATATTTCAATTGTGTGATGATTGGTCTTGCCATTCTTCTATATCCCGTTGGACACATATTTATGAAAATTAGTCACGCATTTTTTGTACTATTTTTAAACAAAGTGCTAAGAACTTTAATTGAATTTATTTATACTATGGCTGGGACTTCTATCCGGACTTTTTGATATCCGGTTAATTCAGATAATCGGATTAAATAATGCGGATACTATCCGGATAACAAAATGAACCGATACCAACCGAATAGCCGGATGTTCGAATCTAAAAATAAAAATTGTTTATGTATTAATGAAATGTTGTTTTATTCGTTTTGAGAACAATTTAAGCAATCCGTTTAAAAACATTTTAGAATATCTGGATAACCCAGTGAGCGGATATTAACCGGAATATCAGTATATACGAATAGTCCCAGCCCTAGTTTACATGCAATACTAACTTGAAGATGTAATAAAGGAGTAGCAACAAAAGCAGAAAGATTATATTATGGAGCCATTTCCTGCTTTCAATATTATATTTATAAATAAGTAGTTATAAAAATATGGACTCGTCAGATAGAATATGGAAACATGGCGTTTGTCTTCTTCGCCTTACTATCATTAGTATGAAAAAATTTAAAATAAAAAATGTTAAATCAAATTTACATTTTTTATGGCATACGAGCGATGCTTAAATCTCTAGGACTTTTGCGATCTACAAACATTCTCAGTAAATTTTTTATTTGTGCCATGTTAAAATTTACAAAAAATGGGACCCATAGACAATGTCACGGATTTTTACATCATTCATACCGTGTTATCATTAGTATCACTTCAATATAGTTACGACTGGTCCAAAAAGTTTCGCGACAGCAATGCATATCTGTCTATGCATATTTACGTTAAGTGCATTTATTGAAATTGTTATATAGAAACTGGAAACTAAATGTAGGGTAAATGTAATTCATTGAAATCATTCAATCGAATTTTTATCCTTGTTAAAGATAAAACATGGAAGGAAACCCTTCATCTATGCCCATTATATCGAAAGATAAGCTGAGAAGAAAATAAAATAAAAGAAACATTAAATCTAATGGTGCCTGTTCATTAAGCCGTGTCACTACATATCTAAGAAAAAAGTTGAGCGTGTGTCAGCGTGAGAAAAAATTGTTAGTGTAAAATTGTTAGGCCCCTGGTAAAACAGCTAAATCACGCTTTTACTATAACGTTCTTATTTGATGCCCGATGCTTAGGCTTATATTAGACCGCTAAGATCCGTTTTGACTTATACCTTAATTTATTTTGGGAATTTTTAACTATAAATCTAAAGCTCTCAATGATGAGGACTTTGCGTGTTAGGCTTTATTCACAAACAAAGAAGTTGTAATGTTTCTAAAATCAGCAACTGTTAACTTTTGCGCTCGATAAATAGGGTGCATTCAGAAATGCCAAAACATCAGTCTCTTTTACTTCTAAACTATAACTGATGGAAATGCCTTATTAACGCAACTAAGTTCCAATTAGGCATTTAACCGTGGTTGCGCATATTGGACATTTCCATCAATTATAGTTTATAAATAAATGCTTCTGATGCTTTGGCTTGATACATTTCTGAGCACACCCATAATTAAATAATAATAGATATAGCACTTCTATGCAAAAAGATATTTAGTTCTAAACGAAAATTCCTTGAGCTCAATGGTATTATCGCTGTGTGGCTACAGTTTCATTTTCCCCTAAATCTATCCTGCATTTACATATGGAGATCCGGAATAGCCGATTTTCTTCTTCGTTGTCATATTTATATATTATATATATGGTGCGATCGCCCTTCTTCAGAATTTGATTGAAGAACACCCTATCTCAGAATTTTATTGAAACGCACCATACCTCAGAATTTGGTTGAAGAACGCCCTATCTCAGAATTCGGTTCAAAAACGCCCTATCTCACTTGAAAATGTGTTCAGATAGGGCGTTTTTGAACCGAACCAGAGCGTTCTTCAATAAAATTCTGAGATAGGGCGTTCTTAAACTTAATTCCGAAATGGGGCGTTCTTGAAAAGTTTTCTCAGATAGGGCGTTTTCGAACTGGCTGCCGAGGTAGGTCGATCTTCCACTCAGGTGTCGATATAGAATACCTTAAATGCAGACCATGAAAAGTTATATGAAACAAAAACTAAAAGTTTAAACCGCCATACAAGTATTAAAAAATAACTGTTTTGATTGTGAATAAAGCCTAACAAGTCCTTCCAAAATTAATTAAGGTATTATTTAAAACCACAACCTTTTAAGGGTCAATTCTAGTCCAAAATTTCCTCTTGACATTTATGTTCAAATAAAACTGACACACACTACGCTTTTTGTTTTTGTGATACGCCTTACTGTTCTTAACATCCGAATAAATAAATTACTTCATGATGACGAAACCATATTTTAATCCGTGTACACAACATAAGAAGAGTTGGAGTCCATTTCATTCAATTCGACTTTTATAAGGTTTTGTGGAGTTATCTGTATCGGGCTATTAGAATCGTTATTGATATTACTGCGGCTCCCACCTAGCGAATTTCGCCTGCAAAAATGGTAAGATGATAAATGTAAACGAAAACTTGTGTAAAATTTTGTATTTACTTGGTTTTTGCGTGTGTTAATATATGTGATTTCAAGTTTGTGGACTGGGCGAACTTTTTGTTGCAACCGTCAAATGGACAAACATACGGCCGATCACCGGTGTGAATCCTTACATGAGTTCTGAAAACACAGATAATAATAGCAACGAGTATAAAATGTCAAAATGGTGAATGCAGGTTATATGCATATATAACGGGTTATCCATTACGCGGAATGTAAATTTATGAAATTTGACACTTGACAAAAATACTGTCAGCCAAACAAATATTTCCTTGTTAAAGTTTGGTGCTTCACAATAAAGGCTCAGTTAGGCATACTTGGCATTGCATGACAGTTGTCACATAATAAATTTGTTAAATGAGCTCTGCGTATAAGCGGTTACCCAACACACAGCACATATTTAGAAGTCTGTTGGTTTTTGATTTGTACGTAGAAATGTTATTCTGTGCAGTGCAGTGCAAAGTATACAAAAGTGAACTATAATAAACGTTTTAAGACCGATATACGCATTAAAATTATTAAGGTATTAAAAAGGTAAATCTTCGGTGGCTACATTTTCGCGCGTCTCGAGAAAAGCCTTCAATGAGGCTCATTTGACACCAGTCGGATATGTTAATAATAATTGAAAAATATAGAACAGCGAACAGCCGCATTTGACCGCAAAAGACATTGTGCCCAAAAAATTTACTACATATTGGTGCGCATTATGGGCCGCCAGCGTCATAGAAAGCGCCTACGTAACCGTAAATTTTCAGTATTATGCCGCCATGATCTATGACGTTTTTTTGGCTGAAATTGAAGATTTTGTTCTTGACGAAATTCAGTTTCCAAAAGGCGGGATATGAAAAATAACGCGGCTAATAATGCCTCTATTGCGGGAGAAGTTCCCATGACGCAAAGTTTCGATATTCGGCGATCCCATTAGGACAGTAGAAGGCTGCATGAATTCATTCAAATCTGCTTATGAATTATTCATAAACAAACCAAATGAATTATTTTGGCTTAATTTTTTTTTGAATTTGAGTGAATACTTGTTCTGATATATGTGTCGACACAACAATATTCAAACAAATTGAAAATAAATTGAATTGATATAAATGAAAATTTTTTGTATGGTTATCCAAAATTTTTTTTCTATGTACATACATATGTATTAGAGTACTACAAAGTTCAACATTTTTAGTAAAAAAGCCATTTTCAAAAATTTCATGCATTGCTATATCATGTCAACTCAAACAAGGCGTTATGCCATGCCATTCCATTTCAAATATACTGTTGTAGCATGTCATTGCTACTTAGCTAAGCTGTTGTGTTTCTGCAGCACATTTTTAATACTGTTTGATCCTGTCTTGTATGAATATATATAGATTTTTAATTAGACAATTGTTTAATAAATTTTATTATGATAGGAGCTTACAAAATTTAGAAAAAATCCTTCACTTACATATAAGTATACAAATGATTTGATTTCAACTTATTGGAAAGTGTCTTCATATGTTATTGCCAAACATTTATGAGCGACATACTATGAAGGACTTGTATGATGTGACACATGTCGCTATGTTTTATAGTTCCAACATTTGCAGGCCTTTAATATGTATGTATGTATATATTGCTGCGCTGCTATTACAATACGAACAAACTTCTTTGTAGAAAAAAACTATAATCGAAATGGGTTTGAATGGTTTCAATGTTTTTCATTCATTCATTAAATTTCTTCCATTTGAAGGTAGAAAATTTAAAACAAAATGTATATTCATAACTCACAAAATTCCAAACGCCGAGTTTTTTGTATATAAAGTAGAATATTCAACTACTGTACTCTGTTTGGCTAGAAGTTTGAATGAAGTCATGGAGCCCTCTATAGGTCACAAAGATCTTGCGATTTGGATTTCTTATGCGGACAATCCCGCAGCTTTGAAAAAATTGAAGGACACGACATGCCAAGTTATAGCCCAAAATGTGTGAAAATCCTCAAAATATTACCTCAAAAGGATTAGATCCTGCAAAACGGTCCTGTGGAGATTCGAATGATAATGTTTTCCACCAATGATGGCATATTTCAAACTTATTAAAAAAAAAATCAACCGCGATTTAAATATTCAGTTTTTTTACTTTACCGAAGGAGGAAATGGATAAACCCGTACACAAAACCCGCTTCATTTCAACAGGCAAATTTTTTTCTGCAAGAACCCAGCATTTCAGGACGTTGAGGCATCGGAGGAACATTGTTCTCATCTCATTTATGATTCTGCTTTTATTAGAAACTTTAATCGGCGCAATACATTCAACACAAAGAAGGTTATAGATATAAATTTAAATTAATAGCTGTTCAATGCTATAAGTATTTCGATCTCTAGGTAGCGGGCCATACCTCATATTAACATCTATCTATCTAAAAGCAAAGACAGGCGGCAGAGTTGACCCCGACTAGTTAATCCGGAATTCTCTCGGGAATTAACTGCAGTTGATTTGGATTAAGTCCTGCAGTTAATCCTCAAAATTAAAGCGGATCAGGGGAATTTTGGATGGCAGCACTGACCAAACGCAAGCTGATGCTTATTGTACAAGCAGGGGAAAAAAGGAAGCTAGTTTGGCATCCGAATGGTGTGAGCTGGATACTACAGTTCGATAAGACCGATCGATAGGTTCGATCCTCAGTCCAAGCGTTTGCCAAATTTGCTTATTTTTAACTTCTTAGTTTAAATTTACTTATATATTTTTTTACATTATTTATTTTATCATTAGTTTAATTTTATTAAGAAAGTCCACAACTATAATTACACGGTGCTACAAAAACAAAAATAAAAAAATACACCCGAAACAAAAATAGTGTAGGTTGTAGGTAGGGTCGAGTACAACATAAAAATACGTTTCTTATTGTTCCTGAACCTTCCATTTATTTTATTAAAAACCCTTTATTTTCATACTCAATGCACTTAAAGAGATAACAGCTTGACTATTTCTTATTCAATTTTAAAAACAAAATATGTTATGAAAAGGGAATGATAGACCTTTAAAATGATTTATAAGAATATATTTTTATCCAGTTTTAGTCTGGTGCATAAGGATGCAAAGAACAATGTGTATACCAAATTTGATCGAGATCGGTGATATAGTTTTTGAGATACACATATATGAAATAATTGGGCGGTGCCACGCCCATTTTCCCAAAATTTTATGAAAAAACAATTTTCTACTACATCATATACATAAATTTTAAGTAAATATTGATGAACTCCGTAGCCACACTGAGTAAAGGTATTAATTTATTCGAAAATACATAATACATCTTTTCCAACTTTCATGGAAAATTTTGAAATTAGTGACGGTCAAAGTTGAGAAATTAAGAAAATCATAGACTTTTTTAAATTTACCTGATGAAAACTTCCACCAAGCTAAGTCTAACAATATATAGCGTTTGATTTTTAAAATCGAATGAAAAATAGTTAAGCTGTTAATAGATAAGTACACCAAGTATATAACGCTTTAATATTTAAAAAACGGCTCAGGAACTAAAAGAAGCCTGCACTAAGTTTTGTTTCGGGTGTATTTCATGATTTTTTTTGAAGCTCCCCGTTATATTTAAAAAGAAATAAAAGTAATAATTGAATGAATTAAATAAAAAAATGAAATGAGAACTCTACTGTCCGTGAGAATCGAACCCGCGACCTCGCGGCTCAATACTGCCGTCTTTCAGGGTACAATTTTGATCAGATCAACTGCGCCGTAAATCCGAATTAACGTTGTCATCTATATATGATCTCAGATATAAGCACTGTCGTGAAGAAAAGTTTTCCCTATTCAAGTGAAGCGGGTTGCATATACTGTCAGCGTCAAAAATGTGCATACCTTGACATTTTCACAATTTTATTTATTTATATTTTCCACACCAAATGCTACTTATTTTTTATAAGAATATTGTTCATTCCACAGCAAAAGCTACAATAATCAATTTTTTAATTTCATACAGAGCTCAGGAATATGTAAGAAACACCAATACATTTTAAATATTTCGATTCGATTTCTTTTATATGCAATTTCGTAGCTCATAAAATTTTAGTACAATAAAGTTAAACATTACCGTTGATGTTTCAGAATTCTCTTTGTCGAGGGTGTGTACCTTTTATCATATAAAAAAAAGATTCTGATCATACTTTATATGGAAGAAAATGCGCAAAATCTTCGAGAAAAAAAGACCTCAAAAATCGACGCTAACTTTTAGCGTCTTGAAACTTGCAATTTGTATAAATTTAAAAAAAAAATCGAATTAGAAAATTTAAAATGTCTTAGTGTTTATTACATTGAAAATAAAAATATTGATTCTAGTGGTTTTTGCTGTTGTATAAACTACTACCCAGACCACAATCAGATCGTACGCCTGAACACTTTTTAATATTTGTACTGGAAACTTTTATATACATACATATATTAATAACTAAAATTTTTTTATACAAAGTTTGCCAATTTCTCAATGCTTGAAATGTGATTTCTTAAAATTAAAGCAAAAGAAAACAAATTACAAAAACAACAACGTAACTAACAAGATCTTTCAAAACTCTTATAAAATGCATTTCAATTCAATACGTAGCATCTTAAAAAATGTATTGTTTAACACTTTGCCTTAATAACATCTTTCATTCTTTTTCACTACTTTTCCATAAAAATTAGTGAAAGGATGAAATATTTTCTTTAAGATGCTACGAACTGAATTGGACTGCATTTCATAAGTGTTGAAAGATCTCGCTAATGGCATTGTTGTTTATCTATTTTGTTTTTCTTTTGCTGTTGATTCTAAGAAACCACATTTCAAGCTTTGGCTTTGGCAAATTAACAAACTTGGTATCAAAACCTTTGGTTTATTAATATATATTAAAAGGCTGCATGAATGCACGTAAAACAAATCTTGAATCACTCACAATAAATTTTAGTATGCATTCATTCACGCCGCTAGAAGAGCAAATCTCGTGTCTGGGTAACAAAATCCATGAAGCAGAACAATGAGTTCGCTCAACTCATAGCATTCTCACAAGCAACGATCCACCCTCGGCACAATTCGTCAACCAAAGAGTTTGAGAAAATCGTATTTCTCAATTTGATTTTCAGCATTGTTTATCATT